AAAAATATGAAAAATAATAATTTATTTAGATACTTAGTATTTCATCAATTATTCCATAGAAATTAATTCCGAAATAAAAAATTCGGAGTTTATAATTCCAAAAAATATTTTCTAATTTATATATATATTTTCTATTAAATATTGTTTTATTAATTTATATATTTATTTTAGTATTATTCTAAATCTATTTATATATATATATATCTATATTAATTTTCTAGATTCATTATATTAGACTTCTTCTAACAAAATTATATTTTCTAGATTTATTTTATTACTAAGAAGAAATAACGACAACAATATTATTTTAAAAGCTTCTTTCAGAAATAATGTCCGTCCTATTAAAACCTATACAATTAATAGATATTTATGAAAATAGAAAATGAATCGGCAAAATCTAAAACTCCTTCTTTTCAAAAATCTAAATATTGACATAAAAAAAATATCTTCTCAATATAAATTCAGTTCTTAAAAAAATAAGAATTATAAAATAAGAAAATCGAACAATAAAATGAAATTGATTTCAATATTTCCCATAGCTATTGTCAGATTTGGCAGGGCATTGATCGTTAGATCTATGTCCTATACAAGCACTCCAAGCCATCATTTCTGCAGCAGCAACCTTCACATCCCCTAGAACAATGTTGTCTCTGACGGGAGTGGCGCAGGCAGAAATAAAAGTGCCTTGCAATGCCGATCGGTTCTTGCTTGCATGCTTCAAATGTAGGAACTCGATAAATGCAGCCGCCGTGCAACTTTGGCAACCTGCATCCATGCGTGCTGATTAACCCCTTNNCTCTCCACAGCCTACCTCAGGACTCACACGAGCCGCGCGACTTTGGCAACCTCCATCCATGCGTGCTGATTAATCCCTTCCCCCTTGTATCAAATGCTCCCGTAATTATAGAAACACTTTCCGGAAAATCCTCCCGAAATCAGCCTCGCAATTTGAAACAGAACCCTGTCTCTGAGCCTGGCTCTCCACAGCCTACCTCAGGACTCATACAATCTAATGACAGATCCTGTCTGTCTTGCTTTGGGGACCTCTCGGCCTGGCTCTCTGCGTAGCCGGCGCATGCTACTGCACTCCTTCGAAGAAAAGACTGACTCAAGTCCGACGGTGAGCTACGCCACCCACCAAACCCTGATTAACTAGACTGAACTCGCGGCCTCGTTGGGCTAAATGCCTCGCGACCTAATCAGTACTGTGTCGGGGAACGCAACCGAAGCTGCTCAGACCAAATTGAAGCCGGTGCAATTGAAATAGTTGGGTGAGGGCGCCCCCTTCGCCTCGGGAAAGTGCACTTCGGTGTTTTGCATGATGATGGTCATATTCAGCCAATCCGGAATCGCCTCCAGCCAATGCCTGATGGACAGCAAGAATGCAAGAAGAAAAAAGCCTGCAATATCTTCTCTAAGCCTGCAAGCATTCATGCCGCAGTTTTTTAACTTTTTATTGCCCATCGAAATGCTGACTCGCACGGCAACACCACTCAGGCCTCCAGAACCAGTACATCTGGTCTCTCGTTCCATTTCTTCGGACGTGGCAATCCATTTCCACCTTTGCATATTCCTCATAAGGACGGCAGAAGACATCGACAGAGCAGCTTCCGATGCAGGCAGTGGTTCTCCCTGACAATTCGTAGCGACACCCCTCCCAGTCATCCGCGCAATGGATGCGCCCCACATTATCGCATCCATCTTGATTTGGGCAAAGCCAATTGGTCTGACTACAATGTTCTGTTGTCGTCCAAATCTTAGCTTTGGCCATTCGCTTTTTTGCCTCCATCACCGAACGGTTAAACACAGCCATGGAGTAGCAGCCCAGCAAGGATTGGAATGAGTGGCGGGACCCTGGCGTCCGAAAACGATAACTGGACCAAAGGTTGGCAATCACCGTGAGATGCAGCGCCGCGAACTGGGATAAGTAAGCCCCTGACGTCTTGCTTGGAGTGGTGAACTGAGGGATTCTGTCAAGCATCAGCTCATGGGCAAAATTCATTTCAGCGTGCATGGCATCCACGACTTTCTGCGATGAGTTCAAGGTGCCGTTGGGAAATCTTCTCGAGTCATCCAGAGCCTTTAGTTTAGCATCGAACAGGATGTTCTGGATGCCTTGTATCTCAGCGTTCCAGAACTCGTGGAACGTTTGCTCCAGCTTTGCATCCACGTAATGCGCCACGAAAGGTTTGATCTGCTGCCAAACGCACTTGCCCCAATCATTTCTCTCAGCATCTTCGCACGGATTATTTGGAGGAGACGAGGTTGGCCATATGAGGTCGAACGTGGTTTTTAGGAAACCGACAGCCGTCCCTATTACTAAGCGCCTTCACGGTCACGTTTGCGATCCATTCAACTGTGCTTTTCGCTACAGCCCTTGCTGCGGCCCAGTGCCAGCGAGTGGCTGGGTTTTTCTTGTTGTAGTCCTCCGCATTCGTGGCACATGCCGCGGAGGAGTTCACTAGCCAATTGTAGCTTGGTTTCGCCATGCGCTTTGGCTTGCCGCAGAGCTCTGTCAGCCTCTCATAAGTCTCGTGAAAGATGTAGGGGTTCTGGGCAAAATCAACTAAGATTCGATTTGCAAGCTCGCAGGCCAGATTTTGCGCACGGCAGCCAAGATCAGATGGCTTGCAGGATCGATCCTCATGTAACTGATGTAACTGATGTAGCTGCACCATCAACGACTTGTCTTCTTCTGCACAGCCGGGAGCATCCGGCTCAGCCCTGCTCAGGACGACTGCCGACACAAAAAGCAGCAAAAGATGATGCTTGCACATGCCTGCGCGCGATGCTGGGAGAGGGACTGTTGAGACCAGGATCCAAGTCGAGCCAAAAGACACTGGCCAGACAGGCACATTTGGACGGCGCGACCTGGTACATCAGACAAATGTCGGAACAACGAGGGCCGGAGAATAGTGCTTGTTGCCCGGGGCCACTTCACAGGGTACCCGTTCGACGCTTCTTCCATGACGAACGTCCCCTGGACGCAGGCTACTTCGATGCTGCGCCTTTCCTAAAAAGACGAGTCCCATAGGGCTTGTTTCGCTCATGTTTGATCCGGATTCGTGCACAGGCTTTAGACTGCTGCCGTCTGAAAATGAGAGGCCGTATTCACGTTGTTTCACAAGGACAATCAAGGAGATTCCCTCTCTGTAACAACCAGCACACGTGGCGAATGAACTCTGAAGCCATAAATCCTCCCCGGAAACATCGACGGGATCCTTCTTTGTTTTAGGGCGGCAGGCCAGGGGTCACGCCAGTCGGGCCCATCCACTGGTGGGTGTGGCTCACACCCAGGGCAGCCAAAGCTCTCTGCATCTGCGCAACTTGGAGTTTGTGGAGAGGCTTGCTTCCACGCAATATGCCTTCCTCCTCTTTGCTAGAGCGATCAATCGAATGTCTCCCATCATCATCTACCTCTCGCACTCCTTTCTTGATCCATCGACGCTTTCCACTCTTGAGACACTTATGCTTGCCATGCTGTCCGGGGCTCAGGTCCTCCTTGTAGCCCGGAACCCACCACGCTACTCAGAGACTCAAACACCCCTTAAATAAGGAATATACCTTAAGTCATAGTCGGGATCCTACTATAACTTAAGGTATATTCCTTAACTAATGGGTATTGGAGTCTCTGGGTATGGGTCATCCTCGAGGTCGATGAGCTTCTTGGCTTCCGCCGCATCGCGGCGCGCGGCCGCCTTTGACACAGGGGTTCAGGGTTTGGCGTGAAGGGCTTAGGGTTCATAGGGTTCAAAGGGGTTTTATGAAGAATCGGGTCCTGAAACAAAGCTTCGTGTCTAAATTATGAGTCCCGCACTTTCTGAAACTCCCTTTTGCCGGCCGTAGTGGCCTGTGTAACTCCTATAATTAAGGAGACATTTCAGGTCGTAGAAACGCGGTGGAAAGGACTCGCAACGTTGTGTCGTGAGACGGTTTTCCGTGAAAGACTTGGGGACATTGTGCTGACCAGTCAGTCTGTCGATTTCGCATGTGTACGTGCATGGGCGTGACACTCACTCCACCATGGCGAAGGCAGGGATTTCCCATCACAAACGAAACAATCTCCCCGCACGCACGCAAACATCGAAAGCTGCCCAAGGACATCCTTCACGTGCTCGAAGTGGCAAGACGCTCGTTAAGCGTCACTCGAATCGTGAATTCTTGAATTTGTAGTATGGGCTCGTAGCAATGGGCACGGTCCGTGCCGGAAAAGCCAACATCCCCTAACTCTAGCCCGCAACAAGGCAGTCGTTGCGCCTCCTCCTGTGCCCGCTGGCGCTCAATCAACTGCAGCTGGCTCGTTTTTCGAGCCTGTGGATAGTCTTGCGGACGCATGTCCACGGCTTTGCAGAAAGACGCGAAGGTCAATGTCGCAGGAGCCACGAGCTTAGAAGGCTTCTATCAAAAACTCTAGCTACCCTATGCCAACTTGATGGACAAAGATGGACAAAGAACAGCTTCTTCCTCCAGTCTTTTTAGACTTCTGGTTAGCCAGCTGATGCAAGGGAATCTGCAACCAAGCTTCCAGACTTACACCCTTCTTCATTCTCTGACAGGGTTCGGATGAAAGTGCGGGGGGGGGGGATATTGTTCTTCTTGCACTCAGGGAGACCGGATCCTACTTTCCGGACTCCGTTTCCGCGTTCCGGGTCCCGGTTGCGGTTCCAAGTTCCGGGTTCGGTCCTTTTCGGGGTCCGGGCGTGCCGGGTGGGGGGCTCCGGGTGACTAGAGACGAGAACAGCAATAATTACAATTGTGCAGCGTGAGAATCCAACATCTCAAGTTGGTCGTAACGAAACTCTGGCACGCGCCCCTCCTCAGCCTGAGCCCTACACCCTAAAACCGACTCCTGGTATCACGTCCTCACACAGAAACTTGCTGAAGCTCGTGGAGCACCTCGATGGATTGCACGGCGTGCCGTAGAATCGACTGCGCGTGCTGCTCAACCTGCAGGCTGGGCAGATGTCAGGTCACTGGTTGAGGTTCAAACTTTCGGAGTTTCGGCGCAAGTTTCGGGTCTTGATTGGGGTCCATCCCAACTAGATCTGCTCCTCCCCATTCTTCCTGCAACTGGTGCTATCCGCAGAGACTCACAGCTCAAGTCTTCACACGCGACGTTTCTGAGATCCCACAGCGCACAAAAAATCCCTATAGACAAGGAAGGCTGCCCAAGTCATCATCACGACGAACAGCAGCACCATCTCAATAACACAATGTATCATCACGACCATCACCATTGACCATCATCATCAGCAGCACAACAATCGTGTTCATAGTTCGTACCATTAAACCTTAACGGGGCCTCTCTGTGCCTGGCTTCCATCGCAGAGCGTAGCTCGGCCTCTGCAAAACACATCTCAGAAAGAACAAGGGGAGTAGAATAACCTCAACCCGTATATTGGTAAATCACCAAAAACTCACGAATGAGAAGGCTTGCCTATAGCTCAGCCCTGGTTTGGGCAAGGAGCTGCAGTGAAAATTGGAGAAAGCAGAGGGTTCGGCCCCCATTCGCTTTAGAGCGCTGGCGCCGGATAAGTGACACGGGCTTTTCGGAATCTTCCTGTCAATTGCACTCTTGGCCACCCGCTTGTCACTTTCTTGCCCACCGGGTTCTTTTCTTTATCTGTGTGAAAAATGCTTGTGGAAATGCTCCAGCCGGCCTAAACCCCTAAACCCTGTAAGCGAGCCTTTTGACGCCCGGCATTCTCGTCGATCTGCTGCTGGAGTGCATTGGCCTAGACAGCTGAAAGACCAGCGACACGCACTGAGATCCAGCTATTTTTGCAAATGAGTGGGCGACAGTTGTTGCATCATACATACGATGCAAGACGTGCTCTTCCGGGTTGAAGAGCAGTAGATGAACCACACTACGTACAGTAGGGTAATCTTTGTCGTGTGACTCGAGTATAATTACAAGTCGTCGAGCGCTTTACTAAAAAACCTCGGATGCAGTTTTGCTCAGCCCTTGGTTGAAAGGCAAACTCTCTCTCTCTCTCTCTCTCTCTCTTGCAATTGCCCACACAAGTGCAGCTGCAGGACTTTGCTCGTGCTGGGGCCGGGCGCTTTGTCTGCAATCTCCTCAAGGCTCAACAGGACGAAAGCCGCAGGGAAACGCTACGATGAGTATCGCAAGAAACCCTTCCGTCCAACGCCGCATGTTATCCCGGCCCTGATCAGGCTCGAATGGCTCAAAAAGCTCCACGATTATGGCGCCAACAATCTAACTGGATCATCGTAGTGCACGTTGCTCCTGCAGCGTCAAGTTTGGGTCGCTGAATGGTCCGGCATATGGCCTCAGAAAGTCAAATTTGCTGGATGCTTGGGTGCATGATCTTAAGTCAGGTCTTGCAGCGTGACGATCTGGGCCCCGCAGCTCAAGCATGCTTTGAAATGTAGGAAGAGAGCTCGAGTTGGAACCCTGTGTACACTCTGTGCAATCTGCCTCAGTACACAGAGTCACACATGCACCAAAGATTACTTCGGTAAATAGCCACGGGCGCAGTGTCTCGAAACAGCAAAATTAAAGCTACACTTGTGTAAGCAAGACTTCGATGGCAACCTTCCCATGCAGCATACATCATGAGCAGCATTGTTCTGAGCAAAGCATGGGTGGATTGCACGATGCAGAGCAAGAGCGAAGACTCAGAACCCAACGGCTGCTGCGAGAAATGCTGCTGCAGCGGCACGGGTGCAGGCACGAAGCTGCCGGCACTCGAAGTCCAGGCCTTCACGGCGGACAGAGGCTTCCGGGAAGTTTCTTGGTCAACCCGTGACGGCTCAAGAGAAATTCACAGGCTGGCTCGCCAGCATGAGCCAAAACATACTCCAGCCGCACGGATGTCTAGGGCTTGCATCTGTAACTCAAAGCCGTGAAGGCCTGACAGTATTGTTGCTGGACATGGAAATATGTCATACGGAGCATGTGTCACAACACATCCCTCCAAAACGCTCGGTGACTCTCTGAGTCTGGAGTGCCATGGTCAGAAGCAGCCTCTACGACAGACTCTACTACGTGAGGGCTCCACACAAGTAAGCGTCGAGACACACGATCACTTAGTGTGCTGCCGAGCCGGAAACCGAGGGTAGGGATTGCAAGCTTGTTGCAGGTCCCTCCATCATGGCAACGACATTCTGAGCATCGAATTCGAGGATTCGGCTTACAAATTCGGATTTTAACCATCTTGAAACTTGTACGTCGAGTGGAAAGTATGATCATGCACTGCGTAGAATCGCTATCTTCATGCTGCGAGTGGCCACTTCGTACTGAGCGAAAACCCGCGTATTGGAACTATGTGGATGTCTGCAGGCCCTCTGTGCACTTGGAAGCTTTGAAACTCTTGAGAGCACAGACCAAGTCATCGAGAGACTTCCCGCTCCGTAAGCCACACTTGCCCTCAGCGAAATACACATTGCACATGCAGAACACAACATATCGGAATACTGCTGCTTCGGTTTCGTGAGCAACATGCAGACCTCACCAACAAAACCTGTCGCAGCTGAGGCCTTTTTGGGCTTCGGATTGCAAGGACTCCGGCTTTCGGGTCCCACTTGTCTGACCCTAGCTCCGTCGTGTTTAACGAAGTGCACCGCGAATTCCAAGTTAAAATATTGTGGTTAACTGACTCTGCAAAAGACGCAGCATGCACTCCCACCCGTGCGGCGGTTGTAAACGCTGCTCCGACAAGCCACGATGCCACTGGATGATGTAGCTGTAGCTGCTGCTGCTGCTGCAAACCCACATGCACACGTTTGCTCCAAACCATACTCAGGACAAGTTCTGCTAGGCTGCTAGGGCCAGAAATAGAGAGGAAAAACGTGTTGCTCGTGATGCTGCGAAGTTTAAGGAGATGCCCTGGTACATTGACCAGAGTCAATCTCGAGCAGCCACACGCTTCAATGTTCAAAATCCGTACTGTTCATCTGAAGTCCCAGACGCGCCTGGGCCCATCGGTCATTTGAGCCCGCTGCAGGTTAGCAGCGGCTCGGGGTCTCAAAACTCTCAGAACTCCCGACGCCCTTCAAGAAGAGCTCCATGGCTGAGCTTGTGTCAGCAACCTGCAGAAAAACTTCGAAACCCGCAACCATCAAGACTCTAGTGGAGAGGGAAGACCAGCAGGAGCCGTCGGGGACTTGGTACGAAATGTAGCAGAAGTATATAGAAGAGTAGTAGATTCAGAGTATAGTTTGAGCTTCGAAGCTTTCCCTGATGTCAGACAAAAACATGGCCCCCAGACTACAACGATCTTTTCGTCTTTCATCTCTCCTAATGCCAGAAACCGGTCAATCCAAGAAGGGTCCAAGAAAAACCTGAATGCCACAATCTGCGCATGCAATCCGGAGCCCTCCCCAAGACTCTGGGACCTGAACCCCTTTTCCGGGGCCTCCTTGGGACAGGCCCTGGAGTCGAGCCCTTAGCTCCTCCCTCTCAGCCGCCGGATCTGCACGGGGCAAGTGTTTCGAAGCTAAAAAAAACCTTTCATTTGAATCAGTGCCAGTCTCTAATCTCTCTCGATCTCGAACATCTCTCAAACATGCAGTGACTCACAGCTGGTCGATGCGTGCATTGCCCGATTTTGAGGTTTGGTGGTGGAGAACCGTACAAAATTGCGAGATTCAGGAATTGAAAGCTTGCGAGACTGTGGAGGCGGCTGAGGCAGGACGAGGTTCGGGTTCCAACCTCTTTTCGGACAGTCACTGTAGCGAGGCAGACACTGTACAGTCCGCGAAGTGCAATTAACGACTCAAAATCTGGAATCTGGGAGGCAGCTCATCCCCGAGACAGCCTTTCAAAGCTCTCGCGACCCCGGAAGGGCATCGTATCGCGGCCGCGCGCGTCCGATACATGCGTTTGCTTCTTTGTACCGAAACGAAAGACACTCGGCTTTCAGCGAATACTGAGGGCTCGAGGGGAGGGCGAACCGTCGACCACGGAAGCAACCAGCTCGGCAATCTGGAAGCGGAGCTCACCTTGGCTGGGAGAAGCGATGGCAGACATGATGAGAACTCAGGCCGTACAACGCCAGCTTCTCGCACTTGTATGAGCCATGGGCGACATTCGTTTCGGAGAGCTGCAGCTTTGGCCTTCGCCCCGACTGTTGAGAGTCGGGTTCCGGAAGTTGGGGTTGCGGCACCACAGGGTGAGGCTCCAAAATCAAACTCTCTGCAGGGCTTGGGCTTCTGCCGATGCAGGTCATGAAGAGCCTTCTCTGGGGACATACGGGTGACGTGTTGGGGTCTCGAGTTTGAGGGAGGAGATCCGAACATGTCCGAAGCCTGGAGGCTCAGAGCCGACGATTCAACTGTAGGCTTGTGGCTCGTGGCTGTAGGGTTTTGGGTGCTGTGGCAGCTCCGGATGGAGAGTTTACTGTAGTTCGTCAGGACCCACGGGGCCCTGCACATCTTGTGCCGCGACTCCCCCGACAACTCAACCCTGGATAAGTCAAGCCACACCGGCCAACTCTACAAAAGCTATAATACGCTCGTATCAAACCTGATCAATAGCGAGTAGAACGGAGTAGGAACTCATAAGCCCCTCCTCTTCCGCCCGAAGCTCCGCCACACGCCGCCGAAGCGAGGCAGCGACCTCCGGCTAGGGGGTTCCTCGTGTTTCATGACGCTTGAGTTGTGAGAAGGAATGCTCATACTGTTGATGATACAAATCCTGCATTACCTTAAGGACCCTAACCTATGGAAATTATGGTACAGTCCTTATTATGGATATATGGGTAATGCATGATGTATACCATCAACCGTATCACTTGTTCCGACCCCGAGTCTTTGGCCTTGGCTCTCACGGGATCCTGAAAGCTTGGAGACTATTACGACAAAGCCTCAGAGCTCCGTTCTCCCTTCAGGGGCGAGTCCGGGGGCTCTCTGGACCCAAGCCAGATCTTCACATCGACCAGTAGTGTTGGAAGGAGCAGGTGACGATGAGTCTCATGATAAATTACTGCCAGAGGCTCTTGCTACTGGAATCACGAGTGTTATGGTTCTTGCCAGTGTAATGGCCTCAGTTATTGTCATTTTCTGGAACTTATTCATTCAACCATTGTTGTTTGTACGGCTATCATCGTGGTTACTATGACGGTGATGTAGACGACATGCTTCTATTTGCACTATACTATTACTACTTCCCGTTCCATGTTGCACACCTACTGTCCTACTCATCCTGACATGTATGGCTTTGACCATTGTTGAGGATTTGGGCTTGATGTTGTGTTCGCGGCGTCTAAGGGCTGAAGATTCAGCATTGCAATCCTGAATATACACCCAACACGGCAAACTAAAAGTCGATAACCCCAACATACCCAAGTCCGAAACTCGACTGCATGCCCTAGTTCAAACACCCGCCTCCTCCAAGTCGTCAGCCCTGGCACCTTGGCCCTCTAGGCTAGCGACCTCGTCCTTCAGCTTTTGGCAAGTCTCCTGTGCCAAGGACTGTTGCTTGAGGAGCCCAGGGTTGTGGGCGTGGTGCAGGAGGCTCGGAGTGCCTTTTGCTGCACAGTTTGAAGATGCTCTGAGCAATCTCCACACCTCTCGGCTACAGCCCTGTTCAAGCTCGAAACTTCGAGGCATTTGAGGCTTTGGGACTGGGCACATTTGCTTAGAAGCTTAGGGCTCAAGCTTTAGGGTTAGGGGATTGTGGTGCTGGGTAGTTCAAGGCGATTGCTTGCTGAATGCTGAGCTCCAAATGTTCGGCTTGCGGCGGAGGACTTCTTTCTGTCCCCGGTGTTGAGGTGCCCGTCGGTTGAATGAGCGGCACGGACTTTGTGGTCGGGTGGCAGCTTTTCGTGGCTCCTGGCATCCTCCTGACTCTGAAGGCTTGGGGTTTAGGGTCCCCTCCCATCGCCCCATTTGAGAAGGAAGCCAACAACCTTGAATCCCTAGCCGAGAAAAACGGGCAAGAGCAAGAGTAATGAGAAGTCAAAGAACAACGTCACTAGAGGCCATGAAGCAAAGTAACAGCTATAACGATGAGACGAGGGGAAAGAGAACAGAAGCAATACCAACAACTCCCATAACACCACCAGTCGTCTCATTTTATTGAGATTCCCAAAGAATGGGAAATAACTGATGGTACCCCACCTCTAGCTGTAGGACTTCGGCGTCTGATCGCAGCTTCGCTTGGACCTCCGAGGCGGAGCCCAGGCTTCACGACGCTGGGTGCTGAAAAGTTTCAGAGCTCTTGAGGGTTGGGCCGAACACGACCGAGGTTGGTATTGCATCTTAGAACAGAAACGATATGCAAACCGCTGACAATGACAACAATGCGTAGTAGTCGGGGATAATCATCACACGCTGGAAGGCTATGCCTCATGGAGTCTTGGCATCCCAGCGCCCCAATCCCCTGAACACCATCCCAGGCGCGGCGTTGGCACTTGAATTCTGCGATTTTGGCACGAAGCAGCCGCCAGTGCCACCATCAGAGGTCTCGGCTGTCCTGCGATGGCCATCATGTGTGGTTGTCTGAGCCCCTACTTCGGTGACTTAGCAAGCTTTGCTAAATGCAATCGCATGAGTGTGTGTGTGTGTGTGTTGTGCATGTATGTCCGTAGTATACATATATAACATGAAGGTATGAACAGCAGCTTACCATAACCGACAGGCATTTACTTGCATGATGAACTTTGAAGGGTTCCAGCCGGGCAGCAGTTCCCCTCTACTCGGATCTGCTTGGATGTTGGGGATCGGGTGCTACGAGTAAGTTCTTGTTAATGATGTTACTATGTTACTGACCCGAAGTCCTGCCGCGAGAAAGCACCAGCACTGTCGCTGATCTTTTTAGCAAAGTGCCATTCATGCATCCAGGTTGGAGTGCTGTCGCAAGCTTGCGATGTGTTGCAAAGAAGCAAGCAAGCATCCGGCACAAAGTTCGCAGCCTACGCTTCTTTAGCGGCTTTCGTGACTCTATGTGTATCTACACCCACCCATCCCCCTCGCGCCGCGCGAGTCGCGCCTGGTATCTTGGCTCAGGACCTGCTGCAGCTCCGCAACAGCTGCCGTCATGACAGCGCAATGCTGGCGCAGCTTCTCCACATCGGCCGCGTGTGGCTGGGCCACACTGCCCTGCCTCGCCGGGTTCGCCGTGGCTTCCATGGCAGCCTTCATGGGTGCCATCAGCTCAAGGACCTTCCAGCACTGCGTAGCCGCGGGCCAGGTATACCCTTGGTCATGTGCCACCTCTAGTGCTGATGTGCTCTGGCATCTCCGGTTCTGGGGAGCTTTCGACGAATGTGGCGATGCATTCTTGTCAGTCTGTAACCGTGACTGAGACGAGCTCTTTGAGGTCCCTGGCACCGGCTGCTGTCGCGAGCTCACAGGTGCAGGAGGCGCAGGAGGCGCAGGAGGCGCAGCGGGCGCAGGGGCCACCGTGCTTCTTTCGGATGCTAGAGACCACGGGGACCGGCGCAAACCTCGCGGGGTGATGCCTGTGCTGCTGGCTGCCAACGTTGTGCGCGTTCCGGGCGACAAGAGCCGCTGCGAGGACTGCGATGTGGAGGAGCCTGCACCTCGGAGCACTCAAGCAGCATCCCAGAGGTTCGAACTGTTGTGGCATTGGAACATGTTATTAACATGATTGCATCAGAACGGGCTCTCTTTCACCATGCAATTCCGGCAAACGTTTGTGCAGAAATTCTCAGCCGAACCCCAACTTGCAAATTGTACACTTGCATATTCTGAGCTAGGCTCGAGAGCCATGCTTGGCGACAGCTCGTAATACTACTCCATGAGATGTGGTATCAGGGTAGATACAAACATACATTCTTATGCAAAATAGACAGTAAACCAAGCAAGTTGTAAAAACTGCGGCGACACCAAAACAGTATCGTGTCATTTAGGTGGCAAGCGAACATGTCTGGCATTCTCGTCAGGTTTCAACTACAAGCACTTACTGTTTATCTAATGTTGCATGCTACTTGGCTGCTACCTGCTTGATACAGTATACTCGGAATACTCATTTGATACTAGTGTTCGGGCTGCACAGCTCCAAAGTTGCGTACGCTAAGTTAACATGTAACTCATACTTGCCCAAACCTTCTCTTGATGGCAGCTGACATTCAAGAACAGGTTATGCAACTATGCCTAATGACCACTTTCAACAACTTGTTTAGTTTGTAGTTGGCATGTGCATGTACTTATTGTTTGATGGTCACACGAAACTACCCAACATTTCAATAGCGGTTGCTTAACAACTTGACTGGCTTTCAAAGGCTATTAATTAATCTTAATCACAAACCACTGCTACGGCAAATTAAATGTACTATATACTTGGCTGAAGTTCAGCCATATGTAAATGGCATTTGAACGGTGTTCAGATACGATTCCATTATTGACTTGACATTGAACCCACTATTCGATTCATCTCCGTCTGCAGTTCTCTACTCTTGGATCAGTATCAAACACAGCACCAATAATATACATACGATGGAAGTCACGTGAATAGCAAGTGATGGCTTGGTCGATGATGAGTACCTTATGGGCAGTCAGTCGTTGCTCACATATAATCTTTCGTAATGAAACAATCCAATATCAAAGTCATGACTGAAAAACACTCAACAGCTGTGTAATTGGGCCTGACAGGCATTGTTGCGGTTAGTGTAATTACTGTACAACTATGGTAGCCACATCCAGCTAGTAACCAAACATGTACGTGAACGAATTTAAACACCGTAGATAAACACTGATTCGATCAATGCCAAATACCAGGTAAGAAAGTGTGAGTGACTACGTGTCATCTACACATCAGCTGAATGTTTCAATGCCTTCGATCGGCACTAAACTGAATGTTCACTATACTCGGGGCAGATGTCGCATGATGTAGGTGAGCGATATATCTATTAATTCAGGTCCACATGGAATACTGCATAAGCGAAAGGTTTAGGCACAGTAGCTAATGGCCAGCATCTGGATGAGAGGTTGGTATTCATGAAAAATGTCCGTATATAGTCATTTATATGTGTATATATATATGTATCTGTATAATATGTAAACAAATAAATAACCACCAGTCCCCACTCTTGAAGCCTGCACCCTTCCTGGAATTCCGAAAACTCAGTATGTTCGCGAAGATGACAGGCCAAATGTTGGATTCGTTGCTGCGTTTTATTCAAATCGCAGAAACACCAATACTCCAACAATCCAGCATTTGTCCTGGCATCTCCGCAGAAAATTTGGACTTTGGGATATTGCTCCTTTGTAGGGCAGTACTACGTGAGAATGAACACTGTTTGCTGCTTCGTCTAGAAACAATTGAAAAAGCCACATGGCGAACGTGTGTATCAGTCTCTGTCGGAGATGGTCAGATGTGCGGGACTGTAGACAGGTCACGAAGCATGCGTTATGGGGGGGTGGTGTGGCCACATAGCTGCTTGCTTGACGAGGCATCAGAAAGTCAGAAATTCATTCCTGGCTCTAAGTACGAAACAGAAGCCCAGGCACATGGAGTGCACACACATGCACGCACGCTTATCTGCAAGTCTGTCTGTCTGTCTGTCTGTCTGTCTGTCTGTCTGTCTGTCTGTCTGTCTGTCTATATGTATAGTTACATGAATACGATGGGCAAACATTTATGTCCTGGTGTAGACTTTGCATTCTTCGTGCCACAGTGTTCATACATGTAGCGATTCTCATCTGCATATGTGCATGCATCAAAGCCAGCCCGGACATACCCAAGACCAATGCCAAGCCCCAAACCCCAGGTCTTTCTTTCTCTGTCTCGCTCTGGCGCCGAGGCGCCACCTGACCGCGGGCTGCGCTGCAACACCGGACTCAGCCTTAGTCCAAGATGCTCAGGTCGGGTTGAGGGTGGAGGGCCTCCGTGCTTCCCACTCTGAAGGTTGGGCGGCACATGTTGAAACTTGTTCAAGTGGGTCTCGGATTCCCGGATTGTCAGGGCTAGGATTCAGGATGGTTAGCTTTGAGCTTTCAGCTGTTTCGGATGCTACGACGAGACTAGAATTTGCAAGCTGTAAATATGTCAACGTGTGGAACGTCGACCAAAAGGCCGAAAAGAAGAAAGAGAAACCAAAATGCATCCCGAAAGCCAGAGTGCCGCTCGCAACTCGAAATCCGAAACCCGCCAAAAACCCGATTCCTCGGAACCGAGAACGAAACCCCGCCATTCCAATGCCCAACTTCCATTGAACAACATTCCAAGCTCGTGTGCTATGGAGTCGCGGTAGCGATGGGCGCCGGGGGCGACTGGACACCGCCATGGTGCGGAGAAATACTCTTTTCACTGCACTAATGAGGACTAGAGTCTGAATAGAGCTCAGGGTTCAAGGGGTTTTAAGGCTCCGGGGTTCGACTCTGGGAGTTCCACTTTGTTTTCGGGCTTGCTTATGCTTGAAACTGCTGACGATGGCAGCAGATGCTGGCGGCAAGAACGTAGCTGTGAGACTCCAACGGCAGACCCTGTACGGGAGGCTCGGGATTCACATGAAACCCCACACCCTAAACCCTGAACGCGAAGGCCAGCCCTGAGAACCCAAATCACCCGAAGCGGCCGTTTTCCGTTGCTGTGCGCTGCTTCCTTTAAATTTACGAAGATTTGCGAAGAGCTAGCCAAGCTGGTAAACCTAGCAGATCACATCGTTGCGTCACTGCAATCCAGACCTCACAGCCGGAAGCTGATCCATTGTGTGCATGCGCCCACCCAACCTATCCATCCACATACCTTGCTTTCTCCTTTGGAGAATTTGGTTTCTCTTGGCAAGTACAGCCCTATAGGAGGCTGGATAAAGCATCTTCACTACAAGTAGCCATTCTCTAAGCTTGAAGGTGTGTTACACTGACGAGTGCAGTAATGTGTATGGCAGCGAATCAGCGAAGCAGGCGAAATGAATCGACTAACTGCTCCGGGTCCTTGCTTAGTTTAACAAGAAACACCAGTTTCGAGAACACATACATTACATAATTACATCAAACGCTTACATACAGTAGACATTACACACATTAAACAGGCTACATGACATGCACACATTACATGCGTGGCAAGCATAATACGCATTGTGTATACACAGGTATCTTACACGCGCTACACAATTTACACGCACTACGGACATTAACATTACAGAATTACAGATTGCAGACATTGCAGACCGTACACACAGTACAGACATTACATACATTGCATGCTTTACACCGTGATGACATACGTTACATACATCGCATTACAATTGTGTTGCATTGCACTACATTGTATTGCTTTACACTGTTTTACATTGCTTTACATTACATTACATTACAGTACATTACAGTACATGCAAAACGAAGCTAACACACACGCAACTCCATACATGCTCTCGTACGTACGTATGTGCATACATTCATACGTCCATCCGTACATCTATTGATACATACATACATTTACATAAACATACAAACATACATACATACATACATACATACATACATACATACATACATGCATGCATGCATGCATGCATACATACATACATACATACATACATTCATACACACATGCATGCATACATACAGACATAGGTACAGACATGGCTACATGCACAGGTACGCTCATAGGTAAGCCTTTACATACTTGCATACATGCATCTGTGTACATAGATATGCTCCAGTCGCTAAATTAGGAAAATGCTTGGTTCACGCCTGGAGGTTTTACCGCCACTCATGGTGCGTAAGCTTGGCCTAAACCCGGTTCGGGATGATCATGGACTGCGACTGCTGGACAAACTGCTGCCCTCGATTTCGACGATGGCAGAGGGCAGGCTGTCGACGTATCATTTCGGCTGCCGCTACGCCGTCTGGAACGCTCGAGGGGTTTGGTTTTGTGGGATTCGGCTTTACGGCTGAGGAAAGTGCGGGTGTTCGGGGTGTCGGGCCTGGGCTGAGGTGGTAAGGGTCCGAGGCGTGGTGGGGTTCCAAGTGCGAGCACTGAAGGAAAAGTCCTCTCCTCCTTGTGAGTAGGGCGCTGGGGAATGTGGTACATGACACCGAAACTCAGGACCGGAGATTTAGCACCAATCAAGACGCTGCCCCAAGCCATGCTACAGCAGCCTCTGTCCACTCAGCACATCAGAAGTGTGCAAGCGCAGAAGCTATAACAACGCAGTCCTGCACAGCCAACAGGTCAGCTGTTCTTCTGCCGCCGCACAGCTTTTTGTTAGGAAGACCGGGCTCTCCGTTCCAAGCCCCTGAACTGTTGTTCCTCTTCAGCGTAGGATGTTGGGTCTATAGAGTTTAGGGCGGTTTAGGGCCTAGGGTTTAAAGTTATTTCTAACCCGGACCCGTTCTTGCTAAGGTGGGCTACAGAGCATGGCAAGGCAGACTCATAGGCAGACTCTTGGAGACGTTGATAGTGTGACCCCTCAAAGCACGCGATATACTTGTCGAGAATTTTGAGGACAAGGGTGTCGAAGTTTCGAACACCAACGAGCAAACTCCTTACAATTGATCCCGAAATGCCTTCAAAGATCTTCGAAGCTGGTTTCTCTCCCGAAATTCGCACTGTTCTTCTTTACAGCTGCCTCAACCTCCGGCAGGTGCAGGAACCTAGTATCCTATGAACAAGGGATTTAAATCACGCCCTCCACCCAGGACTGCGATTCAGCAGCCGCGGGTTAAGGCGCTTCATTGACATGGCTTATGCACCTATTAATCTTTGGGAATTCAAGCTCTGGTCAAGCAGCTATCCATTGCAGGAGGATGCAGTCAACAGTGCTGAGCAAAAGTCTCCAGAACGAGACAAGCACTCCAAGCCCACTTTGCGCCCGGCTTTCATGCTTCGGGAGCAGGAGCCTCTCAGAAAAGACGGCATGGAGCCCTGTTGATTCCCAAGGATTCCTTTGGAGGGCGGTAGGATTCTTCCGTTCCTCTGGGGTCAGTTCATGCCTGTGATTGCCCGCGCAGGCTCAGGCTCAACAGAGCTAAGCGTCGAGGAACTGCCATCAGTATAGGGGACCCTAATATAGTACCATAAGTAGGAGGATCCTTATTATAAGGACCCCAAAATAGCAGGATCCTTATTATAAGGACCCCACAGCAGTAGGATCCTGATTATTATAAGGACCCCAAAATAGTAATTACTGCCAACAGACGACTCCAACCCCGGCACCTCGGGCGTGGCCCTGGCTCGAGCACCGGCAGAACGAATTGTCCTGGAAAGCTGCAGTGGTTGCGAAGAAAGTGCCCAGAGAACCCAATAAGGAATATACCTTAAATCATAATATTAAGGCCCCTATAGTTTAAGTGATATTCCTTAATTAAGGGGTATTGGGTTCTCTGGGGAATGTAGTGTGGATACTGGACCGTGCCGTCGTCGCAAGACCATCAATACTGTAGCAATGATCATGACTACATCGGCGTCGACGTAAAACTCGACGACGGTGACAGCGACAACTAACTAGGCGCAGTAGATGTGGCATTAGCAGCTGTCTTCGAAGTACTGTTTTGCTTGATGCTTGTGCCACTGGAAAGACTTGATGCAGCAAGAGCAACAACATCATAAATTGACGACAAGGACGACCATGTCAACCATCATGGAAACTGAAACGGTAGCTGTGCGCGCAATGGGAATAACAAAACGGCATCGTCAAGTCAAAAGCAGTTGCAACAAGTGGCAATAAGTGTTCCAGCAGAGCTGATTCTACGAGTATATGTTTCTCACAAATGCTGCAGCAAACACCATCGAACAATATGACATTTCATTGGCCACTGCGCCCCATGCCGAACTGCAACATGACGAGACTTCGGGCTCTGGATTCAGGAACATGTCAAGACCCAAGCCGCAAGCAGAAATAACACTACAAGACTCACCGGAACTATTCAACTCAACAACCTTTTCAATGCTATATGTTGGCAGCTCCAGGAAACGACGCCCCAACCCCGAAGCGCCGAAGCCTGGGTGGCCGTGGCGCCTTAGAAGCACATCATGCTCTTAGTGTTTCAGAGCTTTCCGTACCTTTTGCTAGTCTCTGCTCTTACCATCCCTAGTCTACAATCCTCAATCAATCCACGTGGCTCTGAATGACCGGGAAGACGATGGTCGATGATGATATTTACCTTAAAGCCTGAACACTAGCAGACCTGCAGAATCTGAAACATGGATATCAGAAAACTGCACCCTCTCTGAACTCAGGAAACGGCTTTTCCAAAATCGGCAGCGGGCTTCCAGCTGACCTCCTGACAGGAATGCGGAGCATTGTTCGCTTTAGTAGCATTGGGTCCACTACTCCTTGTTGACGACCAGCAACGATCTCTTGCTCTGATTCAACTCATCCTTTTCTTTGCGAGTTCCATCACGAAAGGGCATAGGCATCCTCCTGCCCTTATTCTCTCATCATGAGCACCCTTCGACTTCTACATGCCTATGGACCACTCGCACCAGCAGCGAAGTATGTTCAACATCGGCAGGCAGCTGCAGCATGCTGCAGCACTAAGCTCCAACATCCCGAGAATCAGGGCCGGCAGGGTTTCACACTCCCTCCTCACCTGCTCTCGACTCTGGGATAATGTTAGTGTAAAGAACTCAACTGCTCGCAACAACAAACATACCACGATTCCTCAAGCACAACACCCCAAAACTCGGAACCCTCAAGATCTCTCATCTGCAAAGACCGCCCCACCAAAATCCTTAAACCCCCAAAAACCCAAAACCCCTAAGCCCTAAACCCCTAAACCCTAAACTCCAAATCCCTTAACCCCAAAACCCATCCGCAGATCTGGGGATTGGCTCCGGCAGCGACTCCGTGTTCACTTTGCGGCTCTCGGGAGAGGGCTGCCTTGGCCTTAGTCCCCGGCATTTGGGTTTTGAGGGCCACGAGAGCTTACCTGGACCCCAGGTAACCTACCTTTTTAGGGTTCCTTAGTCTAGTTTCGTTAGATAAATCCTCAAAAGTGGTGGGGCCTTTGGGGTCAAGGCAGGGTTTAGGGATGGGCTTCTCAAGGCAGTGAAGATCGGGAGCCTCGGTTTTGGGGCTTAGCTTTCGGGACTTCAGGATTCATGGCTTTTGACGGTTGGGGGTGCCATAAGGCCCTTGGGATCTTAAGGGCAGAGAGCTCTGGCGGTTCGGAGATCCCGATACTCCAAGTCTCGGGTAGCATTCTTCGGCCTTGTGGCTGCGCAAAAGCCGGGGCTCAGGGTGTTGGTTTAGGAATCTTAGGGTGTAGGGTTTAAATAAGGGTTTAGGGATGTATCCCCTGGTAGGTTGACGACTCAGGGTGTAGAGTTTTTAGACGATGACGACTTTTCGGCGATGAGAGATTAAGCAACCTGTCAATTCCGTGCTAGATGAGCAGGGGCCGCTATGCAAAGAGCTCGCGTCAGAGTTCGGGAGTTTGGCTTCAGAGGATTCACAGTGTCACAGTGCCGCTTCAGCGAACTCTTCGGGATAGTTGGCAAGTCGCTCCATGACATAAGGCACTTCTCCCCAGCGGCCCTGTTTTACTTGCACTCTGTGCACCCCCGATCCGCCAAGCTTTGCCGATGGCGCGTCAGGCACATATGGCCGTGCGAGATGCCCCGGGAGAAGTTCACCAAAGCAGCAACTCTCTCTCCTCGTTAAAGCTTGGAGCAGCTTTCGTCTGAACTGTGTTGAACTGCAGGGGGAACCTCCCCGTTTCGGAGAAGCGAACCGATTCAACCTGGTTTGTGAATTGCTCGTGCAGCATGCCTCATCTCGCACTGGGGCTCATGAAAGTACAACGTATTCTGCGTGACCAGGCATGGCTTCAAACAGTGCCCTGGCATCACCGTGGCCTTAAATTCTGTGCCCAGGGAGTCTAAAATGTGCAGCTATTGAAAGCTTTGCAAGAGGCTTCGAGGGCTTGCGCTCAGCCGCTCTTCGACTTTACAGCTAAACGATCTGCAGCCGCCGTCTGCTGAGGAGAGCATCGAAAACGTTCACAGACACGGGGTTAGCCGCCACCTTGCTCTCTATCTCCCTCCATGCCTCTGCGACAGTCCTGCGTGAGCAATCAGAGGAGCAACGCGAGTTATTGGAGACATCACACCCTTGCCCTTGGTGGCACTGGAACTTGAATCTTCAAGCATTCAGCGATTCGGAGGCGTGCACTGGCCTCCCCAGAAATGTCCCGACGACGTCGTCAAAGCCCTGAGCTGCCCAAGCCCGAACGGCACACCGGGATTTTGGCTTACATTGTAAGATTGTTTCATGGGGATCCTTCTAATTTACGGTTTCAATAGTTTCAATCACACGGCAACTGTTTGGGCCTCTAAGTTCCTGGCTTCTGGCGTCTCCCGCTTAGGAATGAGCTGCCCATGAGGACACTGGCTTCGGAAGCGGTAAATACAAACCCTTCCGATTGAAAGCTGCTGACAATGATTTGTGAGTCGAGCAGCTTCCCGCCCGCAGATGGACTTGTCTGGAACGCAAGGTCGGCCGTTGAAGTACGCCTCGTCGGGCATCCAATACCTCAGTCCAACACACAAGAGGCGAACAAGCATAAGAATCTTGGACAAAGACTCAACACCGACCGTGCAGTCCTGACAACTTCAATCCCAAAACGGATGCCTGGGACACCCCTGTTGAACAAACAGCGCAAGAGAGATAATTATTAATTATTAATTATTCATTAATAAGTATTATAATTAATAAATATTATAGTTCATAATTATAAGTCAATAATTATTAAGCAATAATTAGCAACCTCAAACACTGAAAGGTCGAGCTGCGCGCTCGCAGGTGGATCCGGGCTCTGACAGGTCTCCAGGCACTTCTCACAGGCCTCTCCAGGAAGGAGGTAGCACCTGTTGCAGCAGAGATCGGGGGTGTTCGTAAAGGGTACTTAAGCACTAGAGTCCTAAGGCTATAACGGGTTGTTTTGTGAATGTGTGCGTGCATGCGCATGCACCAAAAACGCCGGAGGAGAATCAGATGCTGAGGGGGTGGATTCGGGCTGCATGTCCAGCACTCTGGGAATGCTTCGGGGACAGCTTGCTGCAACATCTCCACGGCACATGTTGCCCGGATTCTCCGTGAAGTCGGCATACAGGTAGTAGTCCTCGGCTTCTCGCAGAATGCGGATCCGCAGTAACTAGGCTCATCCACTTCTCGCAACTCAAAAAAATCCGGCCCCTTTGACCTCCAGATTACAGTAAGCCAATTCCTGAATTGGAACAGTTATCAACGTTGTTGACTGGACAGCACGTCAGACACTGTCCTGTGAATAGCAATCAGCCTGCGCCTGCTTCTTGCATACACGCCTTAACAATTGCAGACCCCCTGCGAAACCCTCCTCAAGCGTACTTATCTATGTTATATAGCAAGTTGGTAGCACTTCATGTTGCCCTAAACCATAAACCCTCATACCCTGATGGGGGCTGGTGGCACTCCGTGAACAATCAGATCCGGCTTTTGCATGCAAGCGGTGCCCGTCGTCTGTTTGTGCCCTACGCAAACCTAAATGGCGAAACCCTAAACCCCAAACCCCCCTGGAAACACTCAAAGCCCCAAACAAACGATCACTGAATCTAAGCGGCCAGAGGAAGAGGCTGGCCCCAGGTGTGAGCTGCTAAAGCCTAAGAGAAGCTGGAGGCGGACAAGCGGGCTCCACTTCAAACGGCGTCACTCTCGCCAGTCTCGGCCTCTGTTGTTGTCGATACCGTCGAGCGGTGACAGCTCACAAGCCCATCGAATCATCCGCAAGCTACCCCAACACTGTGTGGTGAAGACCGAGATACAAGCTCACAAGCATCGGTGCAGACCGACAGTGATAGTTTGCGGATGAAATCACGGAATACTCCAAGCCAGATGACAGCAGCTGAAGTCCGACAGCAGCTGAAGTCCGAGCCTAAACTCACAGCACTGGTGAAGCCGACCCACGCGTTTAAATGCTCTACATGCCACAAAAAACCACATAGACCCCAGCCAACAAGAGCATTGGCAACGCTCTCGGCCCTCAAACATCTGAATCCTAGCCAGACCCTTCAAGTTAAGTCCGATCAATCTAAACTTGACGACGCGTGTGACTTCTACTGCTCTCGCAAACATGATATGTGTGGTTATCATGTTGGTGGTCCGTCGTCCTCAGGCTTCTGCTGCTGCTGCTGCTGCGAAGACTACTGCTACCACCTCTACCACCACTACTACTGCTAGCTACAACCAAAACCGCCAGATCCATAAACCCAGCAACAGAACCGGGAACCAGGCCCCAGTTTCAGCGAAGGCACCTGCCCGAGCCAAGCTGCCAAAAAGCCGAGCTGCGAATCGCCCCACCTAGCTGGAAGGGGGTTTTAGGGTTTAGGTTTTTGGGGTAGAGGGGTTTCGAGCGCTAGGAAGTTTAGGGTTTAGGACCGCTGCACCGTGCTATCTTTGGTCGACGATGCAACAGAACACAACATCGAATGGTTGGGCAATTTCGCCACATTTGTTCCGACCTACCAAAGAATCAGCTACGACAAAATACAGGGCCCAAGCCTTCAATCATATCTGCTTTGTCCAAAGGACCCCCCAGCACTCGACAAAATACGTCTGTTCCATTAAGACCTTTATTCAGCCAAAGTCGATCAGCGGGGCTCTGGACCACCCGGAAGCCTGGTCCCTAAGTCCTGCATGTTGAACCATGATACCTCCTCCCCCACCCTTCTTGGTACCCGGGTTTTCATGGAGGCCGAGAGGCCAAAGCCCGGCCAGCCATGGGCCAGCGCCCAAGGAGCGGCTCAACTTCTTGAAGATGGGCCGAATGGCCTCAAAGGGCTTTGCGGCCAGTGTACCCTGGGCAACAGCAACATCCTGGTCGCCAAGAAGTCAAATCAAAGCTCCAAAAAGACAACTGTAACATCTATACATACATACATACATACATACATACATACATACATACATACATACATACATACATACATACTCTCTCTCTCTCTCTATATATATATGATCCCGG